TACCAAGGACTTCTTCAAACATCTCTTCGAGATTTAAATTCAATTCGCGTAATTCCTTTCGATGTATGAAAAACATCAGTGCCTACAAAAAAAAAGAAAAAAATATAAAAATTAAACCGCATTCTCATTAATGAACACGAAYGATCGGATATATTTTAATCTCACCAACCTTAACAGTTACTAAGGTAAAACTTGCTAAAAGACTGAGTCCTTTCGTTAATACTTTAATATCGTCGAGATTTTCTAAACAAAATTTCAATATACCATAAACTATATAAGTACCTAAAAATACAGTTAAAATGGATAATTGCCGATAAAAAAGTGAACTCTCTTTATTTTCAACAGGCCGTAAACCGGCGCACAGTAATATGCGTTTTATGAAACACTCATATTGTCGATACATGGCCAATTGTTCTGTCATCATAGGAAAAGAAAAAAAAAATAAAAAGAAATGGAAAGAAAGAAAGAAAGATCAGCGATCTAACGAAAGGTCAATGTCTTAGATATCGTGACCAGAGTATTACTTCTAACAAGCGTTATTTGATACGACATTAGATGGGATGTCTGGCGGGTACATTTTCTATTTACCTCGACGATCTCACATTTGTCATTTATGCAATCAATTTAAAAATATCGGGTGGTTATTATTCTGCATAACTCTTTACATAGAATGTATGATATTATGAAAAATTGCTGTAGATGCATGAACTACTTGATCGTTAAATTACTCGATGATTTACAAGTAATATCCTGTATCTTATAGACATTCAACCTATATTCTACGTGATAGACATAGAACGTTAGGTGGTTATAAAGTTCTCCATATTTTTCTGTTTTTTACTGAAAGTTGCTATAGAAACAAGAGCTTCTACTTTCTCGTCAATTTATTTCATCATTTTCAAGCAAGTATTGTAAGTAAGATACAGTATTGTAAAAAATTTAAATAGAAATTAGATAGAAATTAAAATAATATCAGAGAGATTTCATATTATTTATATATATAAATATATATTAATATATCATATTAAACCTTGAAAATACAGTCACACGAGTCACGCTTCCGAAAAATTCGTCATCTTTGTTCATCTCGCCAGTAAACACCAGATAATTATTTTCTAGTTTTTTTGGTGCATTATTTTTAATCCAGAATGAAGTAATGTGGAACGAATTTATCTAAAAAATAGAAACAAATACATGTATATAAAATATAGTGATCCTGGTGTGCAATATTTTATTTTAATTGCAAAAAAACTATTAATCTTAAAAATACAAATTTATCATTTATAATTGCTTTAATATATATTTAGTACAATTGAATATTATTTAAATACAAATATAAATACTACATAATATAATATACATTATGATTTTCTATATAATATATACATCATGTATTATTATATTGTCAAAAATCAAATATCCACATTTAATTGAGAAGAAAAACAGATATTATGAAGCAATTGAATTTTTATCATTAGTTTCGTCGATAGTTTGTAACAAAAAATAATATGACAAGGATGTATTCAATATCTGAAAAAAAAAAAGCAGGAACAGGATTTATAAACGAGCGGAAACAATAATAATGATATTTGATATATTATACAAAGAGTATAATTATGATATTAACCTTAACGAAAAGATCTAACGAGATATAAAAAAAATGACATGCAGTTAATACAATCGGTTTCTGTGCCAATATTAGAAGAACACTTTTCATCAGTTGAATTTTTTGATACTGGTACCATTTGCTGCAATAAACATTACGTTTAAACGCTTCACTCTATATACAAGCAAATAAAAATAATTAATATATATATATAATAACAATGAGAAATAAATGTAAAAAATAAATAATATTATTGGAAATAATGAGAATACCTCGGTAACCAAGATACTTCCGTACCAGGAATACATGAATGCTTGAGACATTTTCACTATCCCATAAAAAATGGTCACGACAGCTTTTCCTACACTTATCTCTGTCTTTTCAATGAATAATACATTTAATTATTACACCTATATAATCGCTAATAATAATAATAATGATATTTTAAATTTTATAATTGATTAAGAGAAACGAATAATTAATTAATTAACGTTTGTATTTTTCATATGCAGATCATATATTAAATACTTATTAATAACTATGAAATATAAACAAATGAATTATACCTGTAATACTTGGAATATTAACCCACATAAGACGACAACACTGCTGACGATCAAATTTAATACCACAGGTCCATAAACGTTTTGGATTATATCGCGACAACGTAACAGTAAAATTTCTTTTTCGATACAATTACGCAATAAAATGATATCAAACTCGTCGGATGATTTTCCAATTTTCTCACACTCCAAAGACATAAAACGTAATATTCCAACCATTTGAAATATATAAAATCCATAAGCCGTATCAACTCCACTAGTCACAAATATTATAAACCAACCCACTTGAATTTCGTGAAGATACTGTAATTCGTATTTTATACCGAAACTCCCATCGATCCATGGGAAAGTAGCAGGATAGGGAAGAATGTAATGTCTTGGATTTATGTTCTTGATAGCTTCATAAATGATCAATAAAAAAGGCATACATGTAAGCATGATTACTGTTATAATTGTTAAATAATAAAAAATGTATGCAGGACGTTTGAAAATGTTGAGCATTTCAAATAGGACTGGTCGACAATATGTTTTTTCAATTACCTCTTCGAAAATAGATTCTAAATTCAAATGCAATTCCCGTATTTCTTCTTGATACAAAAAGAACATTAATACCTTTGAAAAAGAAAAATAGTAAAAGTATAAAAATTATTGAACATGAACGCAATCGAGTATATTATTTGATCTAGCTTACCTTAATAATTACTACAACCATACTTCCTAAAGGACTGAGTCCTTTTGTGAATGCTTTGACATCATTAAGATTATCTTTACAAAATCTCACACAACCATAAAACAATAAAGCAGCATAGACTATTGCTAAAATTGGTATATGTCGATAGAAATATGAACTCTTTTTATTTTCCACAGGCCATAAACCGGAATAAAAAAGTAAACGTTTGATGAAGGACGCATATCGACGATACGTGGCAAGTTGTTCTGTCATCATTGAGAAACATATAAAATAAGCGATCTAATGCGTGAGGTCAATGCTTCGGATAACGTAACAGGGTATTACTTCTAACGAGTGATACTCTATACGATATCTCATGCGATTTTTTAAAGGTACACTTTGTGTTCCCTTCTAAGCTCACATTCGTCATTTATGAAATCGATTTGAAAATATCATGTAGTTATAAAGTTTTCTCTAACTCGTTATAGTAATGTACAATGGTACCCCTTAACAGATCGTTACAAAAGTATGAATTGCTTGAACATTTTTTGTGTTGATTTGAAAGCGAACGTTTGTCAAATCATTCAATGATTTAGAAGCAATAGTATGTTCCCTGATAATCAAGTAACATGTGTTGTGTCTTATTAGAAAAATGATCCGTTCAATGAGTATTACGAATGTGACATTATTTAATCGTTTTTCATATGCGTCATACTAATTGTAAATAGAGTCATTTTCTTCAATAACCGGATATATTATTTACATAATAAATTGTAATTGTAATAATGTAGTTTAACAATTATTTAAATTTATTTGACTAAAAATTAATACATTTCTGTGAATAATTTAAAATAGAATAATATTTTAAATGGCTTTTAAATTAGTAAATGTAAAACTCTATATCTCTATCTTACAATATAATTCATTTCTTCAAATGTTTGTAATAGAAAATAATACGATATCGACGTATTGAGAATCTGAAAAAATGAATGATATACGTATATATATATTTAATCTTAAAAACTTTTTGTTTTATAATCTATCTTAATTATAAATTCGAAATTACTACTTCTACCTTAATAAACATATCCAATGAGATAAAAAAGAAATGACATGCTAMCAATACCATTGGTTTTTGTGTTAATACAATTAGAATCCCTTTCAAGATAGATACATTATTGCATGCGTACCATCTGCAAGAATAAATCCTCCTGCGAAAGTCTTCAGCCTGACGTACACGTAATCAAATTTAAAGAACCAAATTTCAACAAAAAATWARAAATATATTAATMAAATTAMATATTCGTAGATGGGTTGGAAAGTTTGGAGTCTAACATAAGATAGAAACAATTTTTTCGATCAAAATAACTTTYATTTTTTGTTRTTGTRGCTRAAAACTTTTCAACCCACCTACRTATATAAATATATAAAAATATTTACCTCTGATATAATGGTACTTCCACACCACGCGTATATAAAAGTTTGYRTTGTTTTCTGAACGCCATAARCAATGAATAAAASTGTTTTCRATATCGTCATTTCTGTCTTTAAAGACGATAGAGAAATATACATTTGTTTTTTCATTTGTGTGTGAAATATATTATGAAATAAAATATAATAWAATAARAATACAATTGTTTTTAAGWAAACATRWTAATYGCAAAAAAATGTTACCTTAAATATTTGGAAGGATAAGGCGCATAAAACYATCGCAYTWGTTAATAYCAAGTTGAATACGATCGGTCCGTAAACAGTTTGAATGATATCGCGACATCGTAAAAGTTGAATATGTTTTTTAATACAATTGTAAACAACGYMGTGTAAATYGTTAGGATTAGATTTCGTGAAATATTCGCATTCATAAGATAACGCCCGAAATAATCCAACTATTTGGAAAATATGAAAWMCGAATAARGAATCAACSCCGCTCGTTATAAATACGAYGAACCAASTATATTGYGTTTCGAAAATATATTGTATGTGATAATATATTCCAGGAGTCCCATCGATCCATGGAAAAYTYGTTGGATATGGAAGACCGTAACGTCTWGGATATATWTCCTTGATAGCTTCGTATCCTATGAATATCAGCGGAGTACAGACGTATAATGTGACTATACCCATAATCAAAAGGTAAAAGACATAAGACAAAAAACGAAAGAGATTCAATAGGGACAAAAGTATAGGTCTAAGYCGTGGATTTTCAAGCGTTTTCTCGAACATTGGWTCAAGGATATCATTCAGTTCACAAAGYTGCTTTCTATATATAATAAACATCAGAGCCTTAAATAAATAGAATCAATCTATAATTATTGATAGAACTATAAATTTAAACACAATTGACATATTTCCAATATTTTGAAATCGATTATATTATACCTTCAACGATATTAATGAAAAACTTCCTATGAGACTTAGACCCTTAGTGARTAMGCTYAAATTTCCTATATTATCTTGACAGAATCGCAATACACCGAAAAGCATCATGACCCCCGATGATACTGCAAAAATTGGCAAGCGACGATAAAAATATGAACTTTCTTTTTCTATCATCGGCCATATTCCACCAAGAAGAAGCAAACGCTTAACAAAACGAGCGTAACTCCTATATAACTTTACTTGTTCTGTCATTCTCGGTACGTAAATAGCAGCAATTTACTTTTAAAAATTGGTGCCTATCGTTCCAATGAATGCTTCACTGTAACAATMTGTCTTATCAACGACGCTAACTTGCGGAAAGGTAGATACTCGTTTGCAATTTTATACAAATTACATTTGACGATCCTTCTGACTACCCTCCTCCTGCTCTTTTTCCTACTCTTTCGCATGACACATTTTTAATGTATGTAATCGATTTCTTTTTAGCTATCAAGTACTTACAAAGYTACAAATCCTAGATGCATTGAAGAGAATCAAACTGGCCATACAATTTAGTAAATGTTTAAATCACCCCGGTTATGTTTTCTTTAGGGGACTACTAAGAGTTGCGTGAGTACATCGAGAATAAATACGTTTCGATAACCGATCAATCTTTATCGACCTAACATGTTAACAATATATATGTTAGTAGAATTAAGCTTTATCTATTTCATATTCTTCATATCTTTGAAGAAAACTTAGGCCTAGATTYGCACCATCGTTTTTACCTCTGCGCTATCATCAAATCTTTTGAGGAAAAATCAAAAAGTGTCTGTTTGAATCGCGAAAAGAAACATAATCTTAGTWAGAACAGATCTTTGATAAGCAATGAATAACTTCGAAACATATATAACATAAGGTAAGATTAATTTTTAATGATTCTACGAATACTTTTTTCAAAACGAAACTCTTATTAATTTTATATTAATATATTATATATAATTACTATGATGTTTTACTAATTTTGGTTTTTTACAAAATGTATCACAAACATATAAATATGTTATGATAATTTCTTTTTTATTTTAACTGACTATATCCGAACTACTCGTATGATATTAAAATAAAAAATCAATGGGATTCACTGCACCTTTGATTTCAAGCTAAACTTACTCTTAATTCAAGAAAAGACTTTGTCATATTTTCATTAATTCATTGTATCACCTTCGTCAAATGTTTGCAGTAAAAAATAATAAGACATTGACGTGTTAAGAATCTAGAAATTAAAAAATATTATKTTTAAAAAAATCAATTTGAAAAATATAATTTTCCAATAAATTATATCTAATACTTAATTGTGCTATTTGTTTTATTTTTATTGGTTTTTTTACCTTGATAAAGATATTCAATGAWATATATAAAAAATGACATGCTACAATTACGATCGGTTTTTGTGATAATATGATCAAAACATCTTTCATAAGCGTTATATTATCATTGTGTTCGTACCATTTACTACAATATACACTTCGTCGAAATGCTTCACTCTAAATTAAGATGCAAACTTAGGATAAATATTAAATTTAAATAAAAATATATACATATATATATATACACTATGTCTCACGTATTACGAAACATTCTGTATATATATATATATATTTTTAAATACAATAATCATATACATACTTCTGAAGCAACAATACTTCCATACCAGGAATACATAAACGCTTGAATAGTTTTTAATAATCCATAAATTACAAATAAAAGCATTTTAYCTGCAGTCATCTCTGTCTTAACAAACAATATCATACTTTTCATTACATATAGATTGTAACATATTAAACAAAGTAATAACATTTGATATTTTACCTGAAATGCTTGAAATATCAGTGCGCATAAGACGATAGCATTAGTAAGCATTAAGTCAAGCACAATGGGWCCATAAATTTGTTGAATAATGTCGCGACAACGTAACAACCTTACTTGTTTTTTTATACAATTGTGCAAGATATTCWTCAATTCGTAAGAAGATTTAAATGCGTTTTTACATTCGAATGACATGGCACGCATCAGACCAATCATTTRAAATATATAAAATCCGTAAGAAGAGTCAACGCCGCCGGTAACAAATACAATAAACCAAATGCATTGTGTCTCGAACAAAAATTGTATTTGATAAATGATTCCAGGTGTTCCATTGATCCATGGAAAATTGGTTAGAAATGGAAGACCATAATGTTTAGGTTGTATATCTTTGATACCTTCGTATCCAATAATTATAATTGGTGCAAAAATATATAAGCTCATGGTACCTAATATTAAATAATATACCATGTATGCCGGATATCGGAATAAATTGATCGTCGATAAAACGATCGGTCTAAATTGAACATTTTCAAGTACTTCATTATGCATTAATTCGAGGGTACTATGTAATTCATAAAATTTTTTACGATATATAATAAACATAAATGCCTAAAAAAAAAATTAATTATGATAAAAAGCAAAATATTTTGAATATTGATTATGCGTACCTTTACGATCATCAAAGAGAAACTGCCTACGAGACTTAAACCTTTAGTAAAAACACTTAAATTACTGAAATTGTGTAAACAAAATCTGACAGTACCATAAAACATAACAAAACTAGTTAATAACGTTAAAATAGGCAACTGTCGATAAAGAAATGAACTTTTTGTCATAGGGTAGATTCCACCAAGAAGAAGCATGCGTTTTACAAAACGAGCGTAAGCTTGATACATTTCCAATTTTGTCATTGTTATCCGTAAATTATAGTAACAATTTATCTTAAATCATTGTCTAACTTAAATCTGCTGTTGATCGAAGAGTTACAACGAGACAACTATTCGTGATTTTCATAAATTTTCATTTGATGAGTATAATAGCGTACATATACGTAACGTTACGTATCTTTCCATCCTACTGTACATGAATATATATGTACGATCGATATAAAAGCATTTAGTAGTTAAGAAAATCTTTCCAAATCACTGTTCATATCTATTTTAAGTAGAAAGAGAAAAACTCTAGATAGATTCAATTTACCATATACGTTAGTCAGTTATACGATCTCCGTTCGAACAAATCCTATTATCTTACCAACTTATGTGAAAATTAAATGGAACAAAATAACTTCCTTTACATCAAATAATGTTTCTAAGTTTTACTTACAAATTACTTTTTACCTTTTTTTTTTTATGCGAATCGCATATACAAATAACAAGAGAAAAAATCCATTAAACGGATTTTACGTCAACAGCATTTCTTTTAATTCCTTGTGAGTATACAAAGATAATTCTAATATACTTTGGTTCAATTATTACGTTAGAAGGCACATGACTTTCATGTTCTATAGAAAATAGACAAATTCATTATATTAAAGTATAAGATTAATTTAAAATAACCACTTATATATATTGTTAGATAAATATTATTACGATTAGTGGCAGTTTTCCGATTGTTAAAATTTATAAATATGTGACATACTTTTGAGTTATTACGCTATTAAACATAAACTAACACAATCATATTTGATCTATCAACATTATATATATATATATATTCCTCTCTTATTTACTTTTATAAAAAATATATCAATTCAGACCTTTGTATTTAGTAAAAAGATTATACAGAACACGAAGAGTGGACTTCAAGTCCAAATTCACAATGTCTGTAAAAGAAACATAAGAAAAAAATAAAAAAAACAAAAATTAAAATATTAATAAACACATTATGATAAATTACTAACCTTCAGGTCTGGCCTTAGGTTTAGGTAATCCTATATCTTGCATAATATCAAATGCAAAAGAAACATTGTGAACTTTTTGATCATGCGTTTTTGGTGTCAAATGGAAGCTTCCTAATGGAACAAAAAATCCTTCTAAAAGTCCTAATAATAACGTCAAGAAAACACCATCATGAAATTGTGTATCAAGATCAGTTACTTCCAAATGCACTTTGCTCAAATGTTTATTAGCAAAAGTAATCAAAGACTAAAACAAAAGTTTTATAATTATTTTTTTCAACTAATTTATATAAAATATACTTTAACATAGATATACTTACTTGTTTAACTACGGCAAGCTTATCTGGTGCATGATCAAACAATGTGTCAAATGCATCTCTCTCACAACGCATTCCCAGATCATCATAAATAGAAGTAATTTCTTCTCGTACAGTTCTGTGCATTAATTGCCCATCCTTTTTTCTCACAACTACCATTTGAACTGCTACTCTCTCTGGCAATCTGACAGGTGCTCTAAACTGTCGTGCTAAACCAACTAATATGTGTAAAATAGGAACAATATTTTTAGAACGGACAGATTCTACGCTCCATTTATAAGGTGGATATCGTCCTAATATACGATTGATAGCTCCCAAAACAACAACCAATTTTTGTTTTTGTCCTTCTTCTGATTGCGTCACTTCTGGTACATCTAACTTTTCTCCAGTCAATTTCTCTATAAATGATTTTGACTTTATTTTATATTAAACATTGGAATATTAAACATTTTAACATATTAACATTGGATATACAAAAATTAAATTAGAAAATAAGAAAATAAGAAAATAAGAAATAATGAAATTTTATATAGTAATTATACCTAAAAGCTTTTGTAGTACTTGTCCATCATACAGATCTTCTACAATATCTTTTACAATAATACGTTGATTAGCTAGTTCGTCATTAATCCATTCTAATAGAACATATATAAGTTCTTGAAGCTTAGAATCTTCTAATGCTCTTGGTTCGATCATTGAACGTTCTTCATTCTCGTCGAGAGCATATTCTTCTGGTGGCATATCAGCTGTAGCAGCATATCCGGGTGAATCAATAGCATATTTACCTTCCTCTTGAACTTCTTGTACTAACAAATAAAATCAATATTTATTAATAAAAATACAATATATTAATAAATTAATAATAATAATTAATATTATTTTAATATAAAAGTAATTATATCAATTAATGTTTATATGAATAAATTGTAATCTATAAAGAAAGATATATAAAATTAAAAATTATTATTTAAATATTTATTTTTTTTATATTTATATATCAAAATTAAGTGACATATCTGACATAGTAAATAATTATAAATAAATAAATTGTATTTTCCTATTCATATATTTAAAATGTTGACAAATAGAAGTACTCTCCAAATAAGGAAATTATTTAATGCATAGATATGATGTCACGTATAATTTTATACATCCAAGTCATACCTTCTTTGATTCGTTTCTTTCGACCAAGGGTTCCAATTTTATCCCAAAAACTTTCTTCTTTTTCATCCTTTTTTGATGAAATTGGGGGACGTGGTGATTTCGGACGTGGGGATGCCATCATCCCAATATTGTAATTCTTATCTATAATAAAATGCAATAAAGCATTCAATAATGAATTCAATAGTAGAAAACTATAGAGTTTTTTACACTAACAATAACACTACAGATCACTGATCACTTATAACCACATACGCTACTCAACGATTCTTAAGCTCGATTGAAATAGAAGGCAATATTGTGCGCAAGCGCATTTTTTATTTTTTCAATTTTACACAATGGCGCGTATTTTGAAACGATAAACTTGAACTTTTACGAAAGTAATTAAAAAATAATTATTAAAATGATAACTTATGTTTCTTATTTAAATCAATATGAATATAAAAGAACGAAAACTCACATTTAAGTTGTTTGTTGATATAATTTGAATCGTTTTTTATGTCCAATGTAATTTCTTCATTGGCAACATATTCTATTTGAAAATTTTGACACTCCTTTTTATGAATAACTCCAATTACTTTAGGAAGATCTTCTATTTCAGGAAGTATTGTTTCGTTTTGACAATCATCGTCAATTATCGAATATTTTTCTTCTTCCATTGTTAATAATATTATTTGTTGTAATATTTATATTCTAAAAAAGAAAATGATATTTAAAAGAATATTTATTATAGTGTATTTTAATAAAATACAATTTAAAAAAGAATCTAAATCTTTTATATTATACACAAAAGATTTTTTTACTTATACTCTGTTCAACCAAATCAGTTATGACGGTAAAAGGAAGCTTACATCCGCATGCGATAAAAGATTCTTGTTCGATTGTGGTTTTAAAAGTTATTAAGTAATTTATTCACAACAAAAAAGGCGCGAAAAATGTATCAAATCATTTATTTGTATTTATTCACTTAGAAAAATAATCTATGATCAATGAGATAATGATCTATGAAACAACAATATTGTATTTTATTGTTTATATAAGATAAATAAAATGTTAATTTAATCGATAATATAGCATTTTATTGACAGTATTAAATTGTTATAAATTATATTCAAAACGAGAATATTTTAGTATTTTCAATTTTTGTTCTCTTTGAAAAAACCATGATAGATGGCAGTAAAGTAATATAAATGATATCCTAACCTATTTAACCGTAAAAACAGTAACCGCATAAGTAATTAATTTAAAGTGCATATTTAAATGTAAAAGAGGAAAAAAATTTTGAAGCATAAGAAATACGTATAATTTTTAAAAGTATAACATACTACTTGAAATATGTTTATATTTATACAACGTTGTGAAAAAAATCTTATTTTTCCACTATTAAGGATGTTTAATTCTACTTCTGTATCGAATCAAACAAATATAATAGAACCTACCACTACAAGAGGTGTGTTTGATAAAATTATAATTTAAATTTCATATTAATAAAAACTTAATTTAATGTTGTTTTATCTTTACAAATCTTTGTATTCGCAGAATTTCGTGTATTACAGTTAATACCGCAAAAAAAGACGTTTGATAAAAAAAAGAAACAGGAATACAAATTACCTCCTCCAGCATGTGATGAAATGTCTACTAAACAAGATTGGCCATTAGTTTGGCCTGGTCCTCGTTCTTTTAATCCATATGTTGTTCCGCTGCCTTTACGCCAGGGTTATGTAGAAGGTGATAATGTACCTCCTGGTAAATATGGAAATGCAGAGTTAATGAAAATACCTAATTTCTTGCATCTTACTCCACCTGCGGTAAAAAGACATTGCGAAGCCTTAAAACAATTTTGCACTAGCTGGCCTAAAGAATTGGAAACAGAAGAAGAATGCAATCGACATTTTCCATTAGATATTATTACCTCAGATTATTGTTATTCTTCTCCTACTATAAGAGAACCGCTTGCAAGAATTGTAAGCTTAAAAGTTAATTTAAATTCTCTTACCTTGGATAGTCACGCTAAAGATAAACTACTTAGATTAATTGGAAATAAATATAATCCAGAAACAAATATAATAACAATAACAGCTGATAGATGTCCAACTAGAAAACAAAATTTGGAGTACGTTGAATATTTACTTGTAGCATTATTTCATGAATCTTGGGTAAGTCGCTAAGCCTTCAACTGTTAATTATTTATAAACAATTATTAACAATTATTAACAAATTATTATACATATATCTAGCGTATAGAACCTTGGGAAACTGAAAAATCTGAACCAGATATGGAATATTATGATTGGGACAAAAGTAAAAGTCGTCAAACTTTGATTAAATTACACAGCTGGCCAAAAACGTCAATCAATGTAGATATTGAAACTATTCCTTCTGCTACGGAATATAAGATTGCTATTTCCGAACTCATAAACCAAGGAGAAGATGAATATACATTAACTAGATATAAAGAAGCAGTTAAAAACATACTTAATCTTAAATGTATAAATAAAAATTAAAATAAACAAAATTATATGAAATTTTGTGTATGCTATATAGTTAAATTTTATTAGTTTTATATTATTGTTATATTATTTATTCAAAATATTGTAAAAATTTGTATAATTGCCGTAAGAGAGATTATTTGAAATTGTATAATTTCAAGTAATACATTCAATGATAATATTATACTTACTTTATTTTTTAATAATATTTTTTGTTAAGAAAATATAATTTATTTCCTTTCTTAATCAAATAAGGGAGATAATAATATAAAGTAAACATAATACTATGTATATATATGCATAGTACATATTGCATGTAATACATACATTTGTTATAGTAGATGTATTCCAATTACTATAAAAATTAGGTATAATAAGACTATATATTGCGCTACGAATAAGTAGAGCATATAATGGTTTGAAACAACATAATTTTACACAATGATACACATTAAACATATTTATAAATATATTGACATTTCAAGAAATCTGTACAGTCCACTAATACTCGATATGTAGAATCGTACAAAAGGAGAAATTGAATGAAAATTTAGTTCTTTAAAAATAGAATCTACGAATAGTAATTGTGATAGTGATAGAATTATATTGTTTTATTATTAATTTTAAAGAGGAATCGCATATTTTTTATCTATCAACAAATTTCAATAATCTATAAGAGAATTAGCGATTTAGAAGATTCTTGACTATTTTGACTTAACGACTGAACTTCGAATTTTGTCAATATTGATAAATGTTTCTATTGAGCCTACTGTTAGTCAAGGTTAGGCATTAACCATGTTTATAATTTGAAGGTAACGGGTCAGTTAGGCTATATAAAGATACAAGCGACATAGAGATTAAATTATTAGATTATTATTAGATCAGATTGTGATATAGAGTAAATTGGAGATTGGATTGAATTGAAAACTGTAAATAAGCTTTTGCTTACTCAATATTAAAAGAACTGTTATTATATTACAAATTCAAATTTACGTTTTTCAACAGTGCATGATCCACATCATCTTGCCAAAATTTAGCTGTTTGTTATTTGATTGAAGCGTTTAATACACCGTATAAAAGAAAATCGGACATGCATTATCCACTGATTCAAGAAGAATATAGTAAACAAGAAACAGGTCTTCAAGCGAGAAGTTACTATAATGGTTTTGGAGCACCTGCCACAGCAACTTATTATCCGTAAGTTAATATTTTTAAAACTCATTTATATGAATGTTTCTGAATACATGTAAAGTGTGCTCAATGTATAGATATGTTACACTTTAATATATTTTTTTGTAAATACATCAAGGGTACAAACTAAGAGCATCTAAGAACAAACTAAGAGCAATTATCATCTATATGTTTCAGGACTTTTGATCCCATTAGTGTTTTAGCATCATTAGCATTTTTAGCATTTTTATTGCAGTCCTTTGCATCATTATTTGATCGTTCAAGATCCATCATACCAACAATAGTTAATAGTCGTGCATCATCTTCACAATTAAAAAATGTGGGAATTACAAGACGTATATTACATGCATTGGATGACTATGTAAGTGCCCCTTCATTTTTTACTTACATAGAACATATTATATTAATTATTTTAACATATCTGCATGTTGTAGGAGAATCTTAACGAAGGCTCAATTGAAGATGATCAATCCAACATGATAGCTTTATAAGCTACTACAAGATAAAATATATTTATTAAGTATATTATTGGGTTGACAATATAAAATTTGTAGTACATTGTATTATCAATTTTGTTTATTTTTCAATTTCATATTTGACGACCCAATATAAAAATATTATACTAAAATACAATATATGATATTTTTACAAATTGTACTTTTTATTATATGTAAAGAATTCTACAATTGTAATTCTACGATTGCTTATACGAACTAATCTTTTCTTTTTTCTTTTATATTTAATTTATTCTTGACATAGTCTTTCATAAAATATTTATTTTATCCAAATTATACATATTTCTACACGTTTAATATTGCTACATACAAATATCAATTTATAATAATACATCATTGTATACAAGTATTTTAATTAATATTAAGTAATTTACTATAGATTATATTTTAATAAATTTTTACTTAATACTATGAAA